AAGTATATAAGTTGAAATTTTATTTTTTTGATCATTCTATGTGAACTTGTGAAGGGTTAAGTGCGGCACCGGCAAGGCAACTGTCAATTGACGACTCAGGTTTCATACATATACAGACCTAGCGTTGGGGCGCGCGGGATATGATGTCACAACGATGAAGTCATTTACATTACGTGGGTACAAGTCGGTGATCTGTCCCAATTTTTGGGTGATGAAAAACCAAAGAGTAATGATCAATAGATGAAATTGGGACGAAATTGTGAGACAACAAGTAAAACAGGATGAAATTAATAATTTTATATTATGTAATTTCACTTGTTCTCCCTCAATTTCGTCCTCCAATTTTGCCCCCTCGTCATTACTCAAAACCAAATGCTGATACCAATTTTTTGATGATCTGTCCCTATTCTGTGAACCTCTTTTTCTCACATTCTGCTATTTTTTTTCCCGCCCTTTTTGGGTACTGTAGCAATCATTTGCAATCCACTGCAGCCTTTGCATGTGGGGCATTTAAGTTGATAATATTGCTGTTTTCTCTTTCTTTATTTCATCATTTGCTTCCTTGGATTATTTGGAATATTATCATACCATGCTCCAAGTTTTTATTTTTTTTGCGAGAAGTGAACTGAGACTTAATTAAAAATATATATTATAATTTATTTAAAATATATGTTATTTTAAATATTATCATATCATGTTCAGTAATTATATTGAATCTCATTAACCACTTTTATAATTTATTGTTAAAAGACTAACATATACTTTTCTTATTTTCAAAATAATTGTTATTTTTTATTTTAAATTTATACAAAATTAATTGTTATTTTTTATTTTTTAAAGTAGATAAATATTTTTTCTATTTTAACCATATTGTTATTCATTTATTTTAATTAATTAATTATCTTACTTGATTAATTAAACAAATAGATTATCTACCTAGGTATTATTGTAATAAGATTTTTTTTTTTTTTTGCGAGATGTGAATTGAGACTTAATTAAAAAAACGGATTGATCGATGGAGAAGTTATTACTTTCGAAAGGTGATTGCGGTAAGTCCTTGCGAACTAGAAATGGTAATAGTTTTTTTTTTTTGAACAGCAAAGGATATATATATTAATAAACGGAGTGCAAGGGGTACCCCAAACCCTTAACAAAACTGATTGAAAAGCCTACATTTACATTAGTGAAGAAGCAGGGTGTCGACACCCTCACAAAGTGTCGACACCATACCCGTGACGAGAAAAAACCACCTGAGCATTAACACAAGACAACACAAAACCCAGCCACTAAAATGTTAATTCCATCTTTCAGACTATTCCTCCCTAGCTTTTACCACCACAGTTCACAGTGAGGCATGCAATGGGATTGCTAATCCAATCCGAAAGAGTAAAGTAACACCAGGCATTTTTTGCTTTAAACCATAAGAACGATCGAATTTGAACCAGATCAAATAGCTTACCCGGATCCATCTCTTGGTTCTGGAAGATTCTTTGGTTCCGCATTAGCCATATGGACCATACCGTTGCGCTCCAGGTACAATCCCAACCTTTTCTGATCTTCGAGTTTTTGGTCCACGCCCCAGGCTTTTCAAATGTCTTCCAGCAGTCCTCTTGTATCTCTAAATTGATCCCCCACCACCTAGCACACTCCTTCCATATCCATCTTACATTTTTGCATTTCAGAAATAGATGGGTTGCGTCTTCTTCCTCTTCTTGACACAGGATGCAATTGCCATCACCCATGATTACGCTAAAACCTCGTTTCAACAAGTTAGACTTGGTTGGCAGTCTATTGAGCAGCAGTTGCCAGTTGAAGGCTGATATCTTGGTCGGGAGGATGGGGTTCCATACTCTCCTGAAGACTTTTTCTTGAGTCAGGCACCTCGGCTCCTTTGTCAAGAACGAGTACGCCGTCTTGGTTGAGTAGCGAGAATCCTTGCTAAGAATCCACTCCCACTCATCAGGACGTCCAGGATATATCTTCACACCCTCAATCATCGTACTCAGTTCCTTTGCTGCCTCTTCTTCCCATTCGAACAACTTCCTTCTCCATGTAATGTTCCATTTCCACGTTCCATTGCACATAGTTCCCATTTTGCAGCACTCTTTCTCCTTTCCTTCAGATAAAAGATACAATCTCGGGAATTTATTAGCTAGACAAATCTCCCCGCACCACTCGTCCCACCAGAAGCTTACTTCCTTCCCTTCTCCTACCTTCAATCTAAAGCCCTCTGCTAGCCACCCCGAGGATTCCCCATCTGCTTTATCTGTCCTTTTGACATCTCTCCACCAAGAAGAACAGTCCCCTGCACCATTCCTAACCCAATCCATCCAGTGCCCCCCTCCCTCACTGTATTTGCTTGCAATCACTTTCCTCCATAAACCCTCCTCTTTTGCTGCTAGTCTCCCCCACCATTTACCCATTAGTGACAAATTAAAATACCCTAGGTCTCTCACTCCCAACCCTCCACACTCTTTTGGCAAGCACACCTTCTTCCAACTGACCCAATTAATTCTTTTCCTTTCTCCCTCCCCACCCCAGAGGAAACTCTTCCGGATTTTGTCAATTGCTTTGATAGTACCTTTTGGCAGGAGGTAAACTGACATTAAAAACACAGGCAAACTGGACAGCACCGAGTTGATGAGCGTGATTCGACCCCCAAGAGAAAGATGCCGACCCTTCCAACTTGTCAACTTCTTTTTAAAAGACTCCAACAAGGGCTGCCACATTTAGAAATGGTAATAGTTGTGAAAATCATATCATCGATCGAGTTCACTTCCGATATTTTAATAGCTATGGTGATGTTGGACGATTAGATTAATCAATTTCTATACTCTTAGCTGGCAGTGATGCTGTCCTCGCGCAAACAATGTTCTATTTCATTATGAAATTGAGTAATTAGTCAATACTTAGTAGCATGCTCGGTAGTTAAACTTCTATTTAGATCGAGAGAGATTCTTACGATTTTTAGTCAACATACGACAGAGATGAAATGAGAGTACGTACGTAATAAAGAAAATAAAAGGTTAACATAAAAAAGAAAAGAGAAGAGAAGTTGTTACCCAACATGTGGTAAAAAAGGGAAAAAAATTAAAAAAAAAATCTAATCTATTTATAATCTTAAGTAAGGGAATCGCATATTTAAAAAATAAGAAGAACGATATATTTAACTTAAATATAATTAGAGGGGTTGCTCTCGATTGATTTTACATTAGTTGCCCAATCTATGCTTTGCCTCACATGTTAAATTTTCATATACTATTCCATTCAGCTTTATTTTTCTTACACTTGTTGTTATTAATATGTGTGACAAATTAATGATTTGTTGATTTAAATAAAAATAATTCAGTTTTTTTTAAATAATGTCTTCAGTTTGAATTTTGTGAATGAAAAAAAGATGCTAAAAGAGTTTCTTTTTTGTGCAATTTAATTTATCTTGACTCTATATTAATTAGGATTCAATGTGACTTCTAAATATCGAATAATGATTAACATAAAAAAAAAATGCGTGACAAGCTTTAAAAGTCATACTAGAATTGTACTTGTACAATGCCATCAGGGCATAATTAATTAAATCTACTTGATAAGCATTGCAAAATTAAGTCTTGGTTTGGGAGTGTTAGAGTGTTTATAATTGTAATATTTTTAA